ATTTATCTCTCAGAGAAATTCAACAGAAAATGAATAGGAGGATGAAAGGATGCATCACTTAAAGGTCGGTCGTAAGACATCGCTGATACCGGTAACACCAGGTTTCTCACACCTGAGTTATTTACCATTTAGAATGGCTGTCCCAGGCTCAGGACATGCCATCCATATATATACCATACATATATATTCTCGGATACCACATCCTGCCCATATGCACACATTCTCGGGATGCCATATACCAACAAATCCACGGGATGCCATGCCCTGACTATACATACAGTCTACAGATATTCTCGGGATACCTTGTGTACACACATTATCGGGATGCCATATATACAGCGGGTTTCTTTCAGCTATATCTCGGGGGTGGGGGGGGGGAGAGTAACCCCCCCCCCCTGGGAAAGCCAAGTGCCCTCCAGGAGCAAAAATATGTCCAACAATAAATCAACTGGCGCACCCCCACCCCCTCGACCGAAAAATCTGAAGAGCCCCCCACCCGGAAGAAAATTTCTGAAATAATCACTGCATAATATGACCCCGCCCTCATTTTCCCCCATCTTCTTGGTGGTGTCATACGTGCCACGCATAGTCAATGTGCATGCATTTCCTTTGGTCCGTGAGGCCATTCCCTCCCTTGGATGGATCGGAGCCTGTAGGCCTACTATATTATAAAATTGCTTAACAACACATCCCAAACATTTCTTAGTCAGTGTTTCACTTTATTTATCCATGTTCAGCCACCACATTATTTGTCTTGTTATTGCATTCCTAGTTGTGATGACCTTCTGACCTTCATGCAATGAATTTAAATTACCGCTGGTTTTGGCATTGATTTTTGCTGACTCAGCAATTAAAAAACTTTAAAGAATGAAACTTCCGGTATTATTTATTCTCTATCCGATTCGCTTATTAACTTCTATATAGATTAACGAATAAAGACATATATAACATTGAAATATGACGTCTACGCGACGTCCTTGGTATTTCAGAAAAGTTATTTGCCTTTTTGTTATGACGACAATGGGGCGTCCTTGGTAATTGAAAGTGGGTGATCGTGACGTCGCGTCGACGTTATCGGTGACGAAAAGGTTAAAGTTAAGGCTTGAGACTGTAGTTTCCTTGCAATAACCACTCTACTGCTGAGTCTACTTCTGAGTCTACTACTGACTCTACTGTAGGGTGACCAAACGTCCAGTAAAAACGGGATTGTCCCGTTTTTTCACGATCGTACCCGGTGTTCCGAAAAAAGTCTCTCGGGGCGCCTAAATGTCCCGTTGTTTAAACCAAACACATTTCAAATCACTAATAACGTTACTTTGGAGATGGTGTCGGTTTGCACTCATAATACCCCCCCCCCGGCACTCCCCCAAACGGGCCAGGGCCGAAGCCCCAGACCGTGCGGAAGCGTGCCGGGAACTTCCCTCCTGGCCTGAGGGACGTCCGGCAGACCGAGGGCGCTGCGTTTAAAGCGTCCGTAGTCCACTCTCCTATGGGTCAGGACGGCTTTACTTCCTCTCCGGAGAAGTGGTGTTGCGTTACCATTCCCCACCGCCCAGGGAGCTGTCCGGTCTGGACGTAGCGGGGACGAAACGGTCGCCTAGGGGCTGCTTTCTCAGGGCCGCGTCTTTTTAATCATTGGCAAGGGTTTGGGCGGCCACCCATTGCCTCATACCCATCAACTTCAACAAGTAATCATGTTAGCGCTCAACTTCCGTTGCGTTGGAAGTCATGCGTTTTGCCTGGGATCTTTTAGCTTCAGAAGGAAAACTCCCCCCCTACTAGTCGGGCACGCCACTAAAGAGGCAAGATCCCGTGTAACACCACCGAGAGGCTTGTGGTGCTGAGCATTGACCTCACAGAGCTCGGTCTTTGCCCGCCCAATTTCAAATCACTAAAATTTCCGAATTTATAATATAACTTCAAGTAATATTTTGGCTAGCTGTGTAGCGAGTGCCACTAGTGACGTGTGCTCGCGTGATGGATGCACTGTTCACCATTCCCCACTCTGCTGACGCTGCGTCAATGACAGTGTCCCTGCCATGGATCTTATATGTATAGCGAAAGACGCGTGACTTGAAGCCGCCGGGGGGGGGGGGGGTAGAGGAACGAAACTGCGCAGAAACCAATGNNNNCCCCCAAACCCCCCTTTAACTGGGGGGGTACCCCCCCCCCCCAACAACCCTGCTTGGGTGTGTCCTATTTTTTCCAGTTCGTGACTTGGTCACCTTACTCTACTGCTGAGTCTACTGCTAGTGCTGACTCTAATGCTAAGTCTACTGCTGAGTCTACTGATGACTCTACTGCTGAGTCTACTGCTGACTCTACTGAGTACGAAAAGTTCAAGATTCTTTAATGTAAAGAGAAGTAAATCGTCTACAACTTTGTCAAGCCAGAAAGACTCGGTAATGTATCTTGTAACTTGAGTAAGTAAATTGCTGTCACGATCTATCTCTCTTCGAATGGTTGTTGAACAGATGGTCTAAAATTTCTTTATAGTGCATGACAACTAGGGTGACTCTATTTGGGGAAGTGATCGGTAACGGTAGTTTTGATAAGCAATCGGCTAATACAGTGCTGTTCAGTTGACCTGCACTCAATGTATAAATCAAGGCCAGAGAGAAAAAGCAGAAAAGTTCTATTAAAGCCATGATTTGTTTTGTGGTGTTAGTTTTGGTTTGTGTTTTGATGTCATGTTTTATGTGTTTTGATGTCATGTTTTATGTGTTTTGATGTCATGTTTTATGTGTTTTGATGTCATGTTTTATGTGTTTTGCCCTGCATTTGATCGAGCGCTGCTTTATTATAAAATCCTTTTGTTCGTGGCTAGTTAGTTGGTTGGCAAAATCTTCGGACGCCTAATTGACCCACTTCTCGACAACCAATCTAGCTGAAACTTGGCACATAGACTCGTTGTCAATATTATTCTTTCAAATCCACAGCCCAACCCCTAAACCCCCACCCCATCCCCCCAAAAAACATTTTTTTTCCCTGTTTTTCACTGGTAATATGAGGTAAATATCATGACACTCATTTCACGAAATAAAATTCCCGATAACTGCGCTAAATGAAATGCTTTTTTGTTAAAAAGAAAATAATAATACGCCTTTGGTGCGTAATATTTATTTCTTTCTGAAATAGCTGGTCAAATAAATCTGCAGTGTAAAAGAGGTGTGGTCATTAGAATTTTAATATTGTGTAGGGGCGTGAGAAAATGTGTGGTTGCGAGTCTTGGGGGGGGGGGGGGCCACTAATTTGGATTCTTAAAAATTCGTTACTTGTATACATTTCATGGCAAACTTTTAGTTTCCCCCCCTCCCCCCCCCCCCCCATTGCTCGCTATGACATTTTATAAATGATTTTAGGGGTTGTTTCATTTGTTACTATTTTTAAACAAAATAAGTAATTTTACAAAGAGCCAAGGAGTCAGGGTGGGGGAAGGTGGGGTTAACTGTGTTAAAGTAAATCAAATTTTTCTCCAATCGGAGCCATTCATTAGTCATTTTTTCTGAAGAAAGTTACTGTAGATTAATATTCCAAAATAAACATTTCAATTTACTGAGTTTTGTAGAAATGTATACTGCTTCATGTTTCCTCAGATAGTAGGCCTACACCTATTTTTTTTTGGATTTTCTTGAATGCGTGTTTTTTAATGCTATAATAAGATACCAACTCAAGTCTGAGGTCTGTTTACCAACTAACCTTTATGCCCCATTTTACATTCTTTTTACACCTCACATCATATGATCACTCACTCCAGTTCTACAACTAATATTCACACATTTAAGTTTGAACATTAATGAAAAACAACTCGCCACGCCCAGTCATGCAAGATGACAAAACAGGGCAATCAGGTCACAAAGCTCACTAAATACACACAACACGTACAATTGTAGGAACAACATTTTATTACATCTTTAGCTTGTTAATCAAGTTAAAAAGTTTTTATACTTAAATTTATAATGCAGAATCAATTAAAAGGTTGTTACAGACTAAATATCATTGTTTGTGGAAGTAGGCCCATAAATGTGATTAGTGTAAGTATAGTTGACAATTGTTGAATAGTTTCTAGCTGCTATCATCTTCCCAGGGAGTAGGCAGGTGTTGCTGTATAGTAAAAATGGGCATAGTAGCTGATTTATCATTTTCATCTTGCGGAAGTGATATACCAGGCAAGTCAACATCATCCTCATCTTACCATTCAGCGTTTAAAATAGAAGCATTGTCAGTGTGAGCAATAACTACCATGATCTCTCTGTCTCCTCGCAGCTACTCGTATTGGTCGATGCCTTTTTTTTTTTTTTTTTTTTTTTTTGTTTTGTTGAGGAGCAAGGGGTAATTTCTCATGCTCAAGAGGGCATTGTCGGTGCTGTTGAACTGCTTTTTCAACATGTCTTGTGATGCAAAATAGATGTTACAGATTGTGCAAATCCGTTACAGCAGCGTTGTTATTATTGTTACTCACTTTACTTTCCCCTAATTCTCAAAACATCGTATTCTTCATTATCAATATCGTTTATCTTGACTGCACATGACACTTGTCATTGTTTCATTCCGACAACATGATCCTAGTCATTTGCGACAAACAGAATCTACAGGCCAGCTTTTGATTTCTCTTGCACTAACGATGTGTGCTAACATTCTGACAAGACTTCTCTAATGCAGAAACAGACACACATTAAATCAATCTTATAGTCTATTGTTAAAAGCCTAAAAAATTATCTGACTAGCTACTTCAGTTACACTCATTAACTCATTAAATATATTAAAATAATGTAATGACCAGTCGATTTTTAAGATTAAAATTTTAATAGAGAAAACATAATTGTTGACGTCAATAATCTAACTCCCTCCCCCTTGTCAACAATTGTCAATTTTGTTGACATAATTAATGGACGACCCCAATTCTGTCTACACCATTGTAGGAATGTTTTTCCCAGCATTACAAGGAAAAAGTTGATTGGTCAATTATTTTAGGTCACGTGACTTTTGTTGCTATTTATATTTAACATGGCGGTGTATTATAACAGAACTACAGTAAATTAACAGCAACAGACAACTTATGTAAAATTATCGGCTCATTCAGTGGCTGCATAAGTAACGTCTTTCTTTCAGGCAATGTTTTAAAATCAATTTCAGTAATCTCTTATTTTAGACTAAGAACCATGGCACCTTATGAGTTATAATGTATATTGATTGGTCTCGTTGGTCTCTATTTACTTGTACTCTACTTGTACTTGTACTATTTAATAATTTAAAGTAGCTGTGTTCGGACCCGAAAATGAGTGAGAGGTTGGGTTATTATTATATTAATTATAAAAAAAAATATTTAAAATATTATTGTTTATGTTGGGTTTGTAACACAAAATTTTGTATCAAATGAAAGATGATTCTGATTGGGTTGAATGGACTATAACTATATTATTATATGTTTTTAAACTTACATCTTCAGTTTAATTAAAATAAATAAATTACCACAAATCAAAGTGACAAATGACATCCCAATATCATAATATCAATAGCCATGCCATTTAGTCATTTAGTTTAGTCTAACAAAGGGACCCGGGCCCTCTTATAATAATTTATTAGGGATTTCTATATATAGTGGGTTTCTACCTTGCAAATATAGTTCATGACTAATGTAGCTGAGATGAAACAGTTTCCAACAAGGAACAGCCTTTTCAATGGCTGTGACTGTGTACATTCGGCACTGATAGATTGGGGCTGTGCACACCCATTGCCATAACACAAAAATATGACATTTTCCCCCACCCCCTCACCCCATATTACGTTATATAATATTACCATTGACAACCTCCTTAATATTAAGTAAAACATTTCTAGCAACCACCCATAATAATAATTATAATAAAGTTCATTTCAAAACACGCTGCATCCCTAATTAAGGCTCGAAGCGCAATAACATTCAATAGGCAACAATACAAAATCTACTTACAAGCCAATGGACAATACAAGCCAATATACATCGATGAATATGAGGAAGCTCCTTGAAAAACAAAAAAAAGATTTGACCAAATTTCCGCTCGATCAAATTTCTGTCGGTCACTTTTCTGTCGACGAAATTTCTTTCGATCAAATTTCCGGCAACCTTTATTCAGTGCTAAGGTAACAAAAATAAAGTGTTAGGAAAATCATACTAGGCTGTAGCAGGCTCCCTGGTCCTGCCTTTGCATGTTATTCTAAATTTGAACTTATTAAAGTCATGGTAGTTTGTAAATAGGCCTACAGGGTGAGTGTGGATCTACTAGCGTCATTAGATGTATGCTTCATATTCAAAAGGGCTAACAATTTAAGTACAAATTATATATGTCTAAAGATCATATAGTTTAAATAACATTCTAAATTTATTGTAATCAGTAAAGAATGCAATTTTAATTCTTAAAAAATGTGATTCATATTTTTTTCTTTGAAAAAAAACAACTTAAAATTAAAAAACTTTAAAGTTTTTTAATTTTATTATTATGCCAAAAATTTTGTGAAAATAAATAAAATCTATGGAATACATTTCATGACTTCTGGGCAATAAACCTTGATTGTTTAAAAGATTGTCTAGTCCATATCAATCTTGATTCCAAACATTGGTCTTCATGCAATGGTGATTTCATCTCTTGTTTCTTCATGCACTGGTCTCTTGTGTCTTCATGATATAGTGTTCTTGTACCTTGTATCTTCATGCAATAGTGTAAATGCCCCTTGTGTCTTTCAATTGTGAATGTTTTTATTTTCCAACTTGTTGGCATTAGCTTTTATATGTGTTACTATGCTGCTACGGCTCAGGTTATAAGTTCAATCACAGCCAACCAATTCATTTAAATAAAACTTTGTTTCTGTGTTTTCAGGTATTAAAATAAGAAACATTTGGACAATGAAATAAAAATGTTGTATACAGAGATCAATTTCAAAATTGACTTAGTTTCTGCAGCTTTAAACCATCTTCAATTTCTAGAGGAATGCGATAATCCGATTCTGAGGGATGAAGGAATCTTGCGCCAGGCATTACATCGTTACCAACATTTCTGGTTGCCTCTGGCAGCAAAATACTACAATAAGATTCTAGAAGCACCCCTGGATGTAGCATGGGTTTGGCATTGTCATATGCTGTCACCTGCAGCTTACTGTGCAGACTGTATCAGGGTAAGCCTAATTCATTGTCATTTTAAAAAGATATAATTCATGCTAAAACACGCAAACAGGAGAAGCAAACAGGAGAACGTCTGTTATCTCAGCTTGGAAACATGTAAAATATTTTACCATAATATTTTTAAACAATTAAATCCAGCTTGACTAAGACTAAATATGCATGTGTTAAAAAATTTTGGCCAAATGACTTGGATGTCACAGATGTCTAGGATTGGAATTTTAATTATAAGACTTATTAACCCATATATTAGTTTACTATAGCAGCAGTGACTTAATGTAAGGATATTCCTTACCATTCTGTTAAAAAGAAATTTTAATTATAAAATTATGAGGCAAGAGGAAAAAAACAACAACTTTTCAATGAAGATTAATTTTGTAAAATCACTTTGTACATTGTACCTCGATGGACATGACAGCAATTAGCAAAGTTTTTTTTATCTTTGATTTATTTGAATTTAGTTTCTTGATCTTTTAATCTTCAGTTGTTGGATGGTAAAATTGTAGATCACACACTTGACAGAAATGCCAAAAGTAAAGCACAGGTGCTTGATGAGACAAGAGAATTATGGAATAAAGAATTCCCCAATGAGCCTTTTGAGGTGGAGTTGAACCCAAGCCTAGTTAATCCAAAGTACAGGAATGGAGGAACTGATTTCTCTTACAATATACTGGAGGCTGCTGGTCGGCAAAAAGAATTTGGCTACCAGGTAAGTAAGTATTTAATTAAGAATAAATCCTGGAATGTCAGGTTTGTCTCTGTGGCATTGTTGCAGTACTTGCAATTAAAAATTTAGATGATTTATTCTCTTGTAAGGTTGAGCCTAACCTCTTATAACCTTGGCTAGCACATCACTAGCTGTATCACCTACTGCCAAGCCTTTGAGGCCCTCTTTGCAAAAGTAGTCCTTAAGCCAGGCTTTCACTTTGAGTCATTGGCCTGTCAGGTTCAGCTGGGCTGCAACATCTCACCCAAGGGTATCTGCTCTCTTGTTTTCTGAACTTGATAAAGGACCCATTGGAGGATGACCATGCTGTCACATGCATGAATGTCGTCTGCTATTTCCAGAATGTCCCTTGAACATTGTTAACTCCATTCAGCTCCTTTCCACAGATTTAAGAGCTAACTGTTTTGTGAAGACCAGAATGCTTGGGAAGCTTTTCTCATCACCAGGCGATAGCTCACTTATTTCAGGGCAACCAAAATTGCTTTGAGTTCTGCATCCAAGTTTATTCTATTTTTTCTAATAGGCCCTGAAATCTCATCTGAAGGTGGGTCGCACCACCCCCCCCCCACCCCAAATGAGTGCACCATATCCTGCTCAATTCTCGCTTGCGAGCATGTCAGTTAAGACTTTTACCACTTGGTCTGTGAAAGCTGCTATCGACCTCATAGCTTCTTCCATCTGAGCATTTGGAGGGCTGGCTTTTGTCACAGCTGCATTTACCAGTGACAGAAGTTAAAATCAGTTATCCCTGCCCCAAGCTCAAACCAGCCACATTTTTCTCTGATCTTGGGTATGGATAGGTTATTTCTCCAAATGGTTGACTGCATCCATAAAGGAGGGTCTTTTTAACCTTTTCTGCTTAACCCATCAGTCTTCTAACTGGAAGTAAGGTTCTATTATGTCTAACCAGCGGTAGATGCTTTTAGATCAGAGATTCTCAACCTTTGGGTCGCGACCCCATTCACTTGGGTCGCCTAAGACCATTGGAAAACACATATTCTCTACAGTTATGAAGGTGCAGCGAAAATAATTTTGTGGTTGGGGGTCGCCACAACACTGTATAAAAGGATCGCGGCAATAGGAAGGTTGAGAACCACTGATTTAGATTTATTGGTTTTTTTCCCTTTAAAAGCTATAGATCCAAAAATTTTTACTTTAAAAAAATGTGCAAAGCCACTTCTTAGCTAACAAATTTAACAAAATTTACATTACTTAAACATATTATTTAATTTATTCACTATTAGGTCAGCTTGCCTCACTACAGAGATAAAAAATTCTTAGAGTCATCTCTGGTACGCTATAAAAAATTTCTGGTACTCAAACTTGAGAAACCCAAAATGTTCATTGTTCCATGCTATGACATTGACCTCTTGTGGCACACCCATCAGCTTTACCCTTTGCTATACAAAGAAGATACAGAGAAACTGTTTGGGAAAATTTTCAACCATGATGATAGTGTAACAGATAGGAATGAAGGCTCCAAACTCTTCAATGCTGACCTGGCAACTAGGGAAGTAAGTTGCTATGAGTTTTCTTCTCCTAATTTTCTCTCTCTCATTGATGAAATAGTTTCTTGAATGTAATGTTGAGTTAGTCAATAGTAATAGAAAAATAACATTTATTGGAACACAATTAATGTCCTACATGTTTTATTTTTAAATGAAGACTATGTATTTGAAAAAATACTTTCATCTAACCATTGTATATATTTTTTATTTTATTTTGTCAAGGCTTGGAAAGAAGTGTTCAATGAGAACTTTGCCTTGTTTGGGGCAATGTACAGGGGAGAGAACCCATTAGGGAAACTGTATGGCATGAAGACAGAAGAGGTCACAGCCCTTAGGACCAAGTCAGCCAACTTGGTGTTTGAGAGAGTTGAGATCAGATCAAGTCCTAACATTGCTGGGAAACCGAGACTCAGAATCTTCACAGGTGTCAACACAAAACAGGTAACTTTTAAACTATAATACTTCAGTTTGGGAGGTACCTTCCAAATTTATCTAAATAAAAGTCTCAAAACGGAACTAAATTAATATTAAAGTATGGTTTTCAAAATTCATTTGACTTTTTGTAATGAGATATTTATGTGATAAAGTGATTGAAAACTAAATTCATATTGAACTTTATTGAATAATTAAATAGCAATAGCATATTTATAAAATGATATATTAATAATTTTAATGTTCAGAGAAGCTCTGGGAAATATATTTTTGTCAGATTGGACTAGTTTTTACAAATTGTAAGAATATGTTTAAATTTATTTAATTTCCTTTAAAAAAAAGTTGTTTATTTAGAATTGTCCTGGATACAAATCTGTTATTTATCAATTTATTCTAGTACCACTCATTGACTGTAATCTTAGTTTGTACAAATTAATTTTGTTATTGACAGTCTCAAATAATGGCAACTCTGAAAGGCAGCAACAAAGTCTGGCAGGAGAAATCTTTGTTCAACGTGAACTTTGACACACGGAGTGTCAACTGTATCATATTCAGTCTTCAAGAGTGCACCGGCTGGGCTTGTCTTGGGACCAAAACTACAGTGGCAGAGACAAGTTTTGACATGCTACCTGTGTTGGATTCAGTCCCATTTCATCATAATGTCACCCAGGAACTCAGCACCATTTTACCTGGAAACCTTCAGGTCTGAAACACTTAATCTTTTTTCACTTTTTAAAAAAAATTCTAGTCTTCAAATGGGATTAATTTAATTTCCAGAGAGATTAGACTTGCTATAAATGAAAACAAATCTAAAGTTATAATAATAAATTCAAATAGCACAATAGCTGTAGCATAAAAAGAATAAATTCAAATAGCACAGGAGTTGTAGCATTAAGAGAATAAATTCAAATAGCACAGGAGTTGTAGCATTAAGAGAATAAATTCAAATAGCACAGGAGTTGTAGCATTAAGAGAATAAATTCAAATATCTCAGGAGGGGTACAAATAGAAGGCAAGAAGGGCATAACTCTTTCTGTGCCAATCCACGATTTACAGTCGATTTAATTTCTATAGTTTTTGACATTGCCTACGGCTATCAATCCTACTTTTTATGTTCTGAAATGAACAATAACTCTTCCTACTTACTTCCTATTAGTAGTAGGTTTTGTTTACATTTGTTTTTCCAATAATTGTGCCCTTTTTTTTTCAAATTTGTGTTGAAACCTTTTGTAAACAAAAGAATGGCCATGCCCACTCCAAGCACATCAGCTGTTGCTAGACCACATATGTTCTTAAGTTTGCAAAGGAGCATTTATTTCAAATTATTGATGCTGAAGCACCTGACAATAATCATGAATCATTTGAATCTGATTCCAGTGGTGATTTTCAGCTTTCTGATGGGACAGGAAATGTCAAATGGAAATAGAGGAGATTATAGAAATAGTGGTGACAGCCTGCACTTTGGTAAAAATTTCAAAACTATGTCAAAAATATAAAATACCATAGCTGTATAGAGCTTAGAGAATGCATTACAGTAGCACCAAGATCAACTTTCTAGCTCAAGTGGTTCAAAAGTTATGAATTTTTTAGTAAGGAGCTCAAAACCACTTTTTACTATGACGACAGTGATGATTCAGATAATACCACTCCTATTCCTGCAAAGAGAAGTCAGAAATTAGGCAGAAAAGATGAAGGAAGAATAGTTTCTAAAGCCCAAAACCCTGAAACACACATTCCCCTATTGCCCACCCTGTCAAAGCCAAGGAAAAAGCCCACAACAGTGCAGACCAGCGTCTCAGTGAAAATAAGCAAGTGGTTGACTATGACTGGCATGATTGACAGTGCATACTGTTCAGTGCACTCAAAAGTAACACAAAAAAATCAACAAACGTGTTGGCAGGAAGCCTTCCACAGCGAACAAACAACAGAAAAAACAGAATCAAATTAAAAAATAGCACTTAGCTTAGAATTAGTATCCGAGAGGGCACCAAAAGATTTGTGGAGAATGATATGTCATCCCATGACTAAACCCATGCCAATTATGGCAAGACGAGCACTGGTATAGAACCCTCTAGGATTAAGAGGACAAGGTAGACCCAAAAACAGGTGTAATAAAAATTTGAAAGAGCTAGAGAAGATAGCTAGAGACTTGTAGAGAACACAGCAATAGACCGGTGGAGAAGATAGCTAGAGACCGGTGTCACAGTCAGATTACATGTAGTTTTTTTGTGTCATCATTTATTACTGTATGAGAGAACGATTTTAATTTTTCCATTTGTTAATAAAATTATGAGCGAACTCAGTCACGTAGGACTATGAACGCAGTCAGATAGGATTTTGAACAGTCAAGTAGGACTAAAAGCCATGTGCCTTTGTGAGCCAGAGATTAGATTAGATGAGAGCGATGAGTTACTACAATTGTGGTGATAGGAGTGAAATTATTAAAAACAGTTTTGCTAGGCAGTGAATATATTATTTTGTTATAGATGTGTAGGATTTTTTTTTTTTGGGCCATCGTTTCTTTCCATGCACAATTTTGGATTGTTTTGCGCACTAAGTGGGTAAATGAAGAATCTGAACTTTTCCACGTCTCATGGTTATTTTGACTTCTTACTTCACATCAGCCTTGTAGGGGCTAGGAAAAAGAAGTACTATGCTCTGACATTGTTTTCATTGTGGCCATAAGATGGGGACCTACTCCAAGACAATGTATATGCCACAGTGGCAGCCCAACCAAACAGAGCCTGTACAGGATCTATCCACCACTACCGGAAGCCTTGGAAAGAAATTATTAATTGCCTATGTTGCACTGGGAGTTGAAAAGGCAAAGAAGAAGACAATGTAATTTTTGAAACTATATGTTCTTTGTATGTGTGACTACTTTTGATCAACAGTGTCTTTTATAATAATTTATATTCACATAATCTTGTGACCATACCTGATCAAAAACAAATTTTATACTTGTGTAGTTGATCTTATCTGCATCAAGAGATTATTTTGTACTCCATGTAAACATGTATATCTATATTCATTCTTTCTTTGAACAGATAGACTTCAAAGTGAACATCAATCAGCCAAAACCAGGACCCATATTGCTGTATCTTAAGGCAGGTCATTATGAGCGGGCAGTGATGCCAGAGCACCTGGAAAATCTTTGGGGACCAATCCCTCTGCCCCGACTTCCTCCTGGAACTGACAACTGGTGTGAAGTGGCTTCCCACAAGTAAAGCAAAGTTTTTGTTTTTTTTTGATGTTCATAACATATCACTATTTGTTTAGTTCTGGCATCAACATTGATGAAACAATAAATCTGTAGTCCCTCACCCTCTGAGCGATTGCATCTGTTGTATTCTCAATATTGAACGTTTTATTCTCTGAAACAATATATATATATATATATATAAATAAATATATATATATAAACAAATTCAACATGGAAGTTAGTTTAATCCAAACATGTTTGGAAGGAGGCTGCAAAAAAACCTAACCCCACCGACTCTAAATTGGGAGAATAGCATTTCTTGACTTCAGAGTAATCAATCATCGAGGTGCTGTTAAGTTCATAGGAAAGGCAGACCAGATTAATTGGTGATGACATGGAAATAACAATCGGGGAGATAAGGAATGTACGCCACCATAACATATTGTAAATAGGAATCACTTTTTATGGAAGAGCTCCCATTCATTTTAACAATATTTCACTACATTCTGATTTTTTGAAACTCTTTAGAATAGCAGAATTTAAAGTAAGGAATGAACCCCATTGACACTAAAATGGATGCTTGCATTTCTTGACTTCAGAGTAATAAATCATCGAGGTGCTGTGATGTTCACATGCCGCCTGATCCATTCTCAGCCCTTGTTGCAGTCTGCTGTGCATGTGTTTTACCAAGACAAAATGGTGGCAGTGGGCCATTTGGTGGGCACTGACCAGATCCCTATACCTACACAGGTAAGAGCTGCACTTAGTTAAGGGACTCAATATCTGGATATTGTTGGATTAAAGTAAGAGATCAGACTGAATAAAAGGACTCCATTACTGGATGTTAGAGAGTTAAAGAAAGAGATCAAATGCCCCGTGGATAGTTGGCCATGAGGCATGTTACTTATACAACAACCATAAGTATCAGGAGAGAACATACTTGATGTGTGTGGGGGGGGGGGGCATGCACCAGAGGGGAACATACAAAAGCAACCTACTTTTTAAAATTTGAAAGTTGTTTATATGGCGGGACATCTTTTGTTAAACTAATCATTTTTTAATTTTGTAGTATTTAACTGTAAAGTTAGAACTCAGGACTAACCAGGAAAAATGTCTACTTACCAGTCCTGTTCTCAGAAAAAATGTAGGAATGGTCACCTTAAACATGCACCAGGGGAGGTAATGCACCAAAAAAGGGAGTGAATCCACATTGTTCCTTGCAGGTGGCCAACAGGTCCGGGTGTGTGACACTTAATCCAAGAGCAGGTGAAAGAGCTGTCCTTATCAAAAATCATAAAGGAGACTGGGCTCTGGCAGTTGGCAGATGGACTGGCTACAAGAGAGGTGTGCCTGGCATAGCAGGTAGGACACCTAGGCGTTGTGCGTCAACAAATATATCACATGTCATTAGGCTACTCTGATATTGACATTTAGTATTAATTAATTCACAGCATTCAGTCTTAAATGTCAGGGTAGCCAAAGAATAAATAATGGTGAACATTTTTCATGAAATCAATTTGTTTGTCTGGGAAATATGAACTTGCTAAACATACTTTAATTAGTTTTCCATCCACTGGGGTAACAAAAATAATGGTCTGTCCCACGGAGGCCGATTTTTATAAAATAAAATTTCTTTTTGTTTGAATCAGGTACAAGGAATCAGAAGGGAAGAAAAGGAGTACCTGGCAGTCCTGGCACGCTGCATTTGAAAATATGGACAATGAGTGAAAGAGCAATGAAAGAAATGAAGCTGTCCTATGACTCCAACATTTACAGCATGAGACTACAGGGCGCCCTCGTTGACCTCAAAGCTGGATTAATCTCGGTATTTTATTTTATTCATAAAATATTTTGTGGCCTGGATTTTAACAAATGGGGCCCTTAAATTACTTCAAATTGGACAGCCCTGAGTTAGACAAGGAAGCATTTTCTGCATGCATTAGTTCAAGGATAAACTGAGCCACAATTTTAATTACCGGTACAATAAGTTCCAACTATCACTAGAACTTAGTATTTTTATTGCAATAAATTACTACTATCAATAGAACTTGGTATTTAAATGACAATGGGTTTCAACTATGACTAGAACTGGATCTTTTAATTACAATAAATAACAACTATGACTAGAACTGGATATTTTTATTACCATAACTTACAACTATCACTAGAGCTAGATATTTTAATCAAAATAAATTACGGTACAACTATCACAAGAACTGGATATTTTAAATACAATAAATTACTACTATCACTAGCACTGGATATTTTAATTACAGTAAATTACAACTATCACTAGCAATGGATATTTTAATTACAGTAAATTACAACTATCACTAGAAATTAATATTTTAATTATAATCAGTTACAACTATCACTACAACTTGGCTTTGCATTGAAGATAAATATTCTTTATGGGACTTTCAGAAAAATGTTAGCATTAATTTTCTATTAATTGTTGCCTTTATTTTGATTTTTTAAATTTCTTTTTTCCCTCTCTGCATCCAGGTGGATGAGTCATGTGACAACGTTGCAGAGAGTCTTGCTCTTGCCTTCAGTATTGCTCTACTGCATGTCTTGTGTCAACCACGACCACAAGGCTGGGAGCCAGGACAGAGCATGCAGCCTGCTGAACCTGCCAGAGGTGCTAGAAGGGTAAGTCTATTGTTGACATGGTGAGGCTTCCATTGGGAACTTTTCATGCCTCTTGACCCAGCTTTGGGTACAAAGGAAGTGGAATGGACATGTTGACCCAGCGCAGCAACCATTCTTATAATTATATTTATTTAAAATACATCAACTTCAATATAAATTATTTATTAATCAGTTTAAATAAAATGAATTATTAATTCATAATGATTATTATTAATGATTAATTCATAATGATTATTATTTTATTAATTCATAATTGGTTGGCAAATTATTATTTTTCCTCTTAAAACTTAGATAAACTACGTCCCCTCTGAGGACCTGGCTTTTGTGATGGCTGCAGGATTTCTCATGGCAACACCATCCAACTTTTATGTCAGAGAGCATTATGGTGATCACGCTTGTGCTGGATGTGGGGGTGGTGGTGGAGACATAGTTGTCAATGACTTCACAGGTGTTGACTGTGGCAGTATTGGGGGTGGAGATGTTGGAGGAGGAGATGGTGGGGGAGATGGGGGTGGGGCAGATGGTGGTGGTGGAGATGGGGGTGCAGGATGTGGTGGCTGTGGAGGTTGTGGAGGGGGCGATGGTGGGGGAGGAGGTGACGGGGGTGGTGGAGGTGATGCAGGGGGCTGTGGCGGAGGAGGCGCAGGGTGTGGAGGCGCAGGGTGTGGAGGTGGAGGTTGTGGTGGAGGTTGTGGGGGCTGTGGGGGTTGATTGTAAATCAACCTAAACTGAAACATTTCAAATATTAAAACATCTCAATAAACTATCCTGCTTCTAATATTAGTGGTTGAAAAATTTTAAGTTCAAACCTTTGAGTGTAGGAGACCTGTGCAATGTGTTCTTTGATAATTCTCCGGCATAATTTCCAATAATAAAGATTTTTTAGGGTTCCATAGAAGAAAATATTTTTGGAAAACTCATCAAAAACAAAAACATTTATTTAATTATATTGCACTACTTATGAAATGGTGTTTTAATACTGAAGAAATTGTGTTTAAATTCTTGGAATAATGCTAAATTTGATTAATTTACCAATACGTTTAATCTCATTGATATTTTTTAGGCTTTTAACTTGACTCTTGTCTCTTTACTTGTACAATTAAAAAATTTTCCTATAATTTATATATCCTATATGATTATATTATTATTAGCTGTAAATTTTTACTGTGGTGTTCCTGAAAACATTGCTACTTGTCGGGGTTTAAGTTTGTTATTTTATTTGTTATTCATTGGTTAACTAAATTATGTCAAGTATACAGTAGAGCGTTGACTTTCCAATATCCGATGATCTGAAATGTATATCCAAATAGCCCATGTTTGTTTTTTATTATTATCGTAAACGAAGCGCAATCAGGGGAAAATAATTCTGACCCCTGTCAGCCAATCCAGATATTTACTGTACATTCTGTGACCAGAATTGGATAATACCATCGTCGTACGTGTTAATTAATATATATTACAGAATGCACAATGCTGCAAAAGACAGTGTGGAGACCACTTGCAAAACCTGCTAAGTAGCTTCTAGTTGATTTTGAGAAAAAGAAGTTTGTGTACATTAACTTTATATAGTAGTATAGCAATTTTATTTTTGTAATGTTGACATTGTAGACTTAAATGAAACTTTTCATAAAATACATAAAATGCTGTAGATTGACTCTTAACAAAACAACCAAAATAGAAAACTCATTTTTTTCATTCAAAAATGTAACTTAGCTAGCAGATTTTGCAAGTGGACTCCTCAAGTGACCTCAGATTATATTTTAAGGTGCAATTATCAAATTTTGTAATGCACTTATGTTTGCAAAAATAATAAAAAAATGTCCGTCCTTATTAGTTTTTGAGCTAACTCTGTTGCATCATGCCGTATGGTTTACGCACTTAAAAATATGCATATAATTATATCGTATGCACTATTCTTTAAAGCCATCTTTCTGTGGGAGTGTTCATTTATCCATAGAATAGGTTATCTGCACCACCCCTAGTCCCAGTTAGTTTGGATAGTTAATGCTCTATTGAATACAATTATATTTTGTTTTGATGCTAATGATATTAGATATGTATTTTCCCCCGCTTATTTCTGAGGACAATTGAAATGTTTCATAAAATAAATACAAAGCATAATTCTGTTTCTGAAGGTCTGGCCTTAGACACCCTTAAATATCAGTCCACCATATTGGTGGTGATTACATCAGATTGTGCCCTATCTTTCATAAATTGTTTGACATCTATATTTGCTCCTCAGTATTTTAAGCTGAACTATATTTCCTTGAGGTTTAACAATATTTCAGGCCAGTTTTTGTTCTTGAAGAGCAGTTTTTGAAGCTCACAGTTTTGGTCCATGATTCTTTAGCGTGTTTAGTATTAACATTTTAGTTTAGTACAAATAACATTAATGAAATGTGAGAGAGTGAAAATCTGATAATGTTTTATTACTGAATTTTATTGCATGCAATATTTTCTTATTGTGGCTTTCATGTTGTTTTATTTAATACTATACCGGTATAACAATTAATTTGACTGCCTAAAGAATTTTCTCTGTGATAGCCCCAAGATTAGATAAATAGTGGAATTTCAACTCTTGTTTCAGTAATGTGAACAAGAATTGTTTGAACCGACAGAGATGGTAATTTACAAATAGGGCACAAGCCAAGAGTTCGAACATTTGATTAATGTCTTGTATGCTATGAATGTCTGGTGGTTGGGTATCAAAATCTTAGTTACCTTTACATTGTCATACCTGTACACTGCCTTTAAACTTGCCTGAAATGAATGCAATCTCCTTGTTGCTGTAGACCAACTAATTGTTGTGTTTTATTTAAACATATCAATGAAAAAATGACGTAAATGATTACGTCTAAATAGCCAATTTCATTTTTTTAATGTTAATTAATATTTGTTTTTTAAACTGTATATTATTAGAAAAAAGTACTTGTTTTTTCATTGGAGGAAATGACAAAGTTTAAATTTAAGATTTATTCTAGCTTAAAATGTCTGAAGATAAAAAAAATAGAGTTGATTGCCATGTTATTTAGCTTCGGCAGTGTGTTCAAAGTAATAAGTGTATTTGCCCATTCTGGGTGAAGACATTCAGGAGTCAGAGTTTAATCTTAAACAAAAATATTTTTATTGTAAGACTGATTTTTATTTTTAGACGACTTGTGATATGATACAAGTTGTTACTTTAATATAGCAGTGTTTTGTTCCTACAATCAGTTGTAGCACACCTGACATGTTCCTACAATCAGTTTTAGCACACCTGACATGTTCCTACAATTAGTTGTAGCACACCTGACATGTTCCTACAATTAGTTGTAGCACACCTGACATGTTCCTACAAATTAGTTGTAGCACACCTGATATGTTCCTACAATTAGTTGTAGCACACCTGACATGTTCCTACAATTAGTTGTAGCACACCTGACATGTTCCTACAATTAGTTGTAGCACACCTGTCATACACCTACAATTGGTTGAAGGACACTTGGCAGGCATCTGCAATCGTTTGTAGCCCAAACGACATGTTCTTACAATTAATTGTAGCACACCTGACATGTTCTTACAATTAATTGTAGCACACCTGACATGTTCTTACATTCGGTTGTAGCACACCTGACATGTTCCTACATTCGGTTGTAGCACACCTGACACCCTCATTGCTTTATTGATAGTTGATAAATGTGCCAAAATTAATTCCTAGCCTTAAATACAGACGCACATTGGAAAACGATCTGAACACTCAAACCTTGATCACAAAAAAAAAATAGCCACTTTTTTTATTTTATTATTTTTTTTTATATATAATAAGAGAATATATTTTTTTAATGTTCTCCAAGATGTTTAGATTTTTGTATGTTTCATTTAAACTTAAGCATATGTACTGCTTCATTTCCTAGTTACAACAAAGCTATGATTTGACCTTTCTTGTATCTTACTAACTTTTGGTGGGTGCATTGTACGTCAAATATATATTCAATAATTCGGTTTGTGATATTTTATACATATATATATATATACATATTTATATTACATTTTTAAAACAATTTATTGCTCATAGCCTTTACGTAGGCCTAAACATACACCATTGCCCATATGCATGTAATCTTTTGAAGACACATTTAAAATTAAAGCAACCATTTCTTGTTTCAGCAGTGGCTACCAAATACTTAGGATTTTTATGTCAAAACATTTACCAGCACTCAACTGTCAATCCTGAGAAAATGATTTTTTAAAAATATTTATTTTGACAAAAAAATTTTTTTTTACTGTATTACTTTTAACCAAAAACAAACTTCTAGAGAACAAGGTATAAAATAGATGTACACGTTTTGTGGAAAAGATTTGTTCATTTAAGTTTACTTAGTTGACCACATCATAGTTGACCACGTCATTGTTTACACAGTTGCCAAAAAGTCAGTAGCAATATTTATCGTTACTCATTAAAAATAATATTTCCTAATTGCTAGACACTGTATACAAATAATTAAATTTTACCATTTTTTATTACAATTTTTACTTTTTTTATGTACATGATCTCACATAAAATTGTCAAGTCAGCATCTATATACTTGATGTCAGATGAGAAGAAAAAAAAACTGATCATAATCAAGCAACAAAGCAATATTCTTTACCAAAAATTATGAAATGAATATTTTAAAAAATCAATGTTGATAACTAACTGCTATTATGTAGGCTACTGGTCAGTATGTGTTAAATTATTTGTCATTCTGTGCAGAGTAGATTTTTATTCAATGCATCAATACTCTAAGCCAGTGGTCTAAGCCAGTGGCCGCATGCAGCTCTTTAGCAACCTGAGTGCAGCTCTGACAGTCGGCCACAAATCGGTTTGGACTTGGAAATACGTGGGTCTTGACAGGTTCATGAAAAGAACTTGAGCTCAAAAAAATTTTTAATCGTCCTGCTGCTTTTGGCCATTTTCGGCTCTTTTGACTAATGAGTTTGCAGACCACTGCTCTAAGCTAAATTTGCATAATCATTCAGCCGTCTAACCATGAGGCCAATCATTCAACTGTGTAAACCATCAGCCCAATCATCCAACTGTGTAAACCATCAGCCCAATCATTCAACTGTGCAAACCATCGGCCCAATCATTCAACTGTGTAAACCATCAGCCCAATCATTCAACTGTGTGAACCATCAGCCCAATCATTCAACTGTGTAAACCATCAGCCCAATCATTCAACTGTGCAAACCATCGGCCCAATCATTCAACTGTGTAAACCATCAGCCCAATCATTCAACTGTGTAAACCATCAGCCCAATCATTCAACTGTGCAAACCATCGGCCGAATCATTCAACTGTGTAAACCATCAGCCCAATCATTCAACTGTGTGAACCATCAGCCCAATCATTCAACTGTGTAAACCATCAGCCCAATCATTCAACTGTGTAAACCATCAGCCCAATCATTCAAGTGGGGGGGGGGTTGTCTGCCCCGGGTGGCACCTTCTTTTCCTTATTTTATGAGGGGGGA